ACAGTTGTTAAGTGAATCATTACATTTGTTAAGTTAGTAATATGGTTAAGTAAATCTGATTCCTCCATTGACTTTACTTGTCAAAAGGGACATGTCCTCAGAACACTGCAACTGTCATAAATATGAGTCAGTTGTCAAGCATCTTAATTCTAATTACATGAGCATGGGGATGCTGCAATGATTGTAAGTGTGAAAAACAATCATAAGTCACTTTTTTCAGTCCTATTGTAACTTTGAACATACACTAAATAAACTGTTTTATGTTGAGGACTACTTGTATTCAAAATCAGTTACACCATATAAAGCAGGGGTCTTCAAACTTGACCCTTTTATGACTTATGGACTTCAACTTCCAGAATTCTTCAGCCAACGTGCCTGGCTGAGGAATTATGGGAGTTGAAGTCCACAAGTCATAAAAGGGCCAAGTTTGAAGATCCCTGATATAAAGCAAGAGTCAAAGGAAACCCTAATCTTAATTCTAAACCAACTTAACTGTCATTTACAAGTAATCTCCCTTACTATGATATTGCATTTGAAAACCTATTTCTTCTTTCCTTCTACCTGACTTTAACATGCAAATTGTACTTAAACTGGAAACATGAATGGCATTCTTAGTTGGAGTATCACTCCTTTCTCTTAATTTATATGAGAAAGGAGTGCCCACTCCAACTAAGAATGCCATGCATGCTTCCAAATTAACTACGATAGTATTTCATAGTATTTACGGAACTGGTCTCACAGCATGCATTAATCGTTATGTACCAAAATTTTCTTCAAACTCTTCAAAACATAAGTCATAAATTATAGCAAAAATATCTCCTTTTCCTCCATTATATACAAAAAAATGTCTGGATGTCATTGTGAGATTGCTCTTATCTAAATAAGTTTAATTCACATAATGTCTGGAAAACATATTTTTTCCATAAAGAGATTCTATGCATACTAAGTTGCATTATATTTAAAGTTGCAATAACTATTACCAACTCTACATCATAGTACTCAGTATATTGGATAATTTTTGCCAAATTTAATATCTTATATTGTATTTTTAGCACAGTGAAACTATCAGCATTTTTAATGTTGTCAGACAACATTGTAGCCAATCAATCAGAACAGAGCTGGAAGCAACTTTGGAGTCTTCTAGTCAACTTCCTGCTTAAGGAGGAGGCCCTTTACCATTTCAGACAAGTGACTGTTCAGTCTCTTCTTAAAAACCTTCAGTGATGAAATACCTACAACTTCTGAAGGTAAGATGTTCCACTGGTTAATTGTCCTCACTGTTAGGAAATTTCTCCTTAATTCCAGGTTGCTACTCTCCTTAATTAGTTTCCAACCATTGTTTCTTGTCTTGCATTCTGGTGCTTTGGAAAATAAATTGACTCTCTCCTCTTTGTGGCAGCCTCTCAAATATTGGAACACTGCTACCAAGTTTGAGTCATCTAATTCTTACTGCCTGGTCTTCAGAAATTTCCTAGTATTGAAGCATTTTGAATAGTTATGACATGTAGTATGAAATAGTTATATGTAATCTGAAGTACAGTAGTATGACATACTACTCCTGCCTATGAAGTTAATTTATAGACTAGTGTATTATAAAGAATTGCAATTCAATTAATTCAGTATTTGGATTAATTCAGGAAACCATGATTAGTCTGTCATGCATTAAGCTATATATGGTTTGTTTGGTTTGGGTTCAGCCTAATGTGCAAATAGGACTTCTGAATTATGGTTTTAAGGTGATAATCCAGTTTGAAAACCTGGCTTGTTAAGATATCAGTTGTAATTATGGATCAGTATAATGTGCGTAACAAATAATTTGGTTCTGATTTTCTACTTTATCTTTGATCTGGTTTTGTGCCTCATTAAGATATCCACAGGGATGCAAGTTTTTATAAAATTGTTCTTTTCTCTTAACTTTGTCTTTTTTGATCTATGAAATATGGCATAGCATGATGCATAAATTCAATCTCAAATATTTTAAAGAATCCTGTAGGACTGTTAAATAAGATACAAGCTATCTTAGGATAGATGTTTTCAAATTTTATGAAATCATACTTCTAAAATATTAGAATTAGCATAATTTCTTAACAAAAACAGAACTACTAATTTCATGGAGGTTAAGGCTGTGTAAGAAATACATATATCAATTTAAACAGTAATCTTTAAATTCCAGCAGTTTTCAAACTTTCTAGCACCGCAACAGTCTTTTTGCACACTTAGGCTCACAAAGTGAACAAATTCCACAGTAAGTTAAGTGTTCTCCCTTTGACCTCTTAGGAATCTTTTTTTAAAACATGCAATTGATCCCCAAGATGTTTGCAACTCCCCAGAAGAATCCCAATTTATAATCTGTTAACCCTTGCTTAATTAAAAGTGGATTTTAACAAATACTTCTATCCGAAGCAATCTGATACCATTTATGAGATACATGGGGAATTAATGCATGGCATGAAAATATGAATCCGAAGGAAAAGTACTGACTCTCTTTTTTAACAGGGAGAGTCACTGTCCCTCATACTAAATAGGCAGGCAATCTACATCTACAAATTACATACTTATTACATATAACAAGTTACATACTTATTAGAATTATATTTTGTGTTACCAAAACTTATGAAAATAAGAAATATTCCAATTTCCTGAGAAATTTTTAAATCATCTTTTAAGAGTTTTTGGTATTTAATGTTTCCTATGTAATGTATCAGTCACAACCTGATGAGAATCAATAAATCTCATTCCATAATATGTTAAAGGATTTTACCTACAAATCTAAGGCAGTAGGAAAGAGTTTGTTCCAAGCACAGGACTTTAAAAGTGCAGTACTGCAGGCCACTTTAGCTGACTGTGTTCAGCAGGTCAGCGGTTCAAATCTCACCGGCTCAAGGTTGACTCAGCCTTCCATCCTTCCGAGGTAGGTAAAATGAGGACCCAGATTGTTGGGGGCAATGTAAATATATATATACATTGCTTACTGGTGTACACCGCTTAGAGAGTGCTTGCACTTAAAGCGGTATATAAGTCTCATAAATAAATAAATAAATAAATAAATAAATGAACATTAAAATTAAAAGAAAATAAATGTCTGAGAAAAATATATTCTTTTATATCATATCATTCTCCTATATAATCTTAGCTTTGAAATTATGGGCAGTCCCTCCCATTTTTCCTAAGAACCAGCTGATTGCTCATTTCCCACTAGATCAGTGGTTCTCAACCTGTGGGTCGGGAACCCATTTGGGGTCGAACAACCATTTCACGGGGGTCGCCAAACAATGCAGTCCGCCATTTTTTTCCCCTTTTCCTTAGCTGTGCTACTCCCTTTTATTCTATTGGCTTTTGAAAGCCAATAGAATAGACTCTCTTGAAAGCCAAAAGCCAATAGGAATTGTCCAGGCTGTCTCTGCCCTGCTGAGCCCGCCAAAAGTCCCATTCTGCAAATGGCGCTGCACCAGTTGAGTAGTCCTCGACTTACGACCGGTTGAGTAGTCCTCGACTTACAACCGGTTGGGGGTCGCGGCATTAAAAAGGTTGAGAACCACTGCACTAGCTATTCCTACCCTTTCTTTTCCAAGCATGCCAGGTAATCAGCTGGCTGGAGGACCAGTTAATAATGAAAGCAGGACACCAACAATCTGCAATGGTTTGTTGGGAGAATAAAAAACATCTCATTGCTTTTTCTTGGTTCAAGACCACTAAGTCAGTATTAGCAGAAAAATAACTAACTTGAGTAGAATTGCTGAAACAGAAAGAAACTAATTTTTCATTTACCCTACTTGTAGCCAATGGTTCTCTACTGAGTGCCGATAATTTTCAATCAGATTCCCAGGACTCTAGTCATCCTCAATCCAAACAATTTTACCTAGATGTGCTGCTTGTACTTCTAAGAGCAATGGGAAATCAATAGTCAGGCCAAAAAGACAGCTGGGTGGGAAATGTGAGACTGCACAGTCTAAATATGGATGCATGTGCTTAAGTAAAAAAGGTATAATTGAGAATAGATGCACACATATAATCTACATACGGTATATACAGACAGCCACTGACATATAACCTGTGCAGTATAAACTTGACAGGGTGCACAAATGTCATACACCTTAAAAAAGGCATGTCACAGGTATTTTTATAATAGTATTTTTCTAAAAAGTAAATGTGGTTTAGAAAAGTACTTTTCTAAAAAGTAAATTTGGTTCATTTAACCCCCATATCACAAAAGTCCTTTTAATAGAGTCCAGAGAGAACTAGCCTAAGCCAAACCTACAATCACAAAGTTTAAACTTTTAATAATAAACTTGATATAAACTTTCCCTTCCCCCATTTTACAAAAATATCTTACATCTAATTCATCTCCATTCAAGCCTACAAATGTGAGCAATGTTTTCAAAATACAAACACAATCCTAACTAGTTCCTTGTCTTTCAGGCAGGGATTCTTCCTCCTTCAGAAAGGTCCACCCCCATACGTGCACACACACACACACACACACACACACACACACAACACACACACTACAAGATCTCAGAAGAACTGCAGCCGCCACTCCTCCTTGGTCACTGCCTGTTTTTAAGAGTGATGCCCCCTATCCCTGTGCCATCAATAACTACATCTCTGGTCCGTATTCACTATTTACTCACCCCAAAACTTCTCCTTTCCTACGTTTTTAGTCACACACCACCCCTCAGTCAAGAATTAATCACCACCGCTTCTCTCCCATACAGTCTTTTCCGCTCACACTTCTACCTAAGGGCCCCAGCTTTCCCAACGTTCAAACTTACCCCGCAGCCTGAGGCCCTAAAAGCCACTTTCTCTGCACATGCCCCGATTCTTATCTTGCCTGACCTCTCCTTTACCTAACCCACCCACCCAGCCACCAACACACACTTCCCGGCCTGCTTCCTTCTCCACTACACAGCAGCAGGTAGCCTCCCTCACTCTTCCAGTCACCTATGCCTTTACGCGTACAGACACGCCCATTCCCCCCCTTCTCTTTGAGCCCTCGTTACCTCTACGGCGGCCTCGAGTTTTCCCTCGAAGGTGAAGTCGATAAGGTCGGGCTTGAGACACAACCCATAATTGATGGGGCGCACTTCGGTCGGGAGCCGCTCGAAGGGCCGCTTTTCCGGCATCGCAGCGGCAGCGCCACGGGAAGACGAGACGGTGGAGAAATTAGAAGAAAAGGTGGAAGAAGCAGCAGCGCTGGCAGCGGAGATCGAGGCGAAAGGGGAGGCCCAGTGAGCGCACAGAGCTAGGGGGAGGCGACGACCTCCCGCTGACAGAAGGAAGAGACGGGAAAAGGGAGGGAGAAGAGGAGGAGACGGCGGCTGCGCGCGCCGCGCCTGGCCCAACCGAGAGTGAGAAGCCAAATGGGGCCTCTGCGAGCGCGCGCTGACCTGCTGCCGATCCTGCTGTCGCTGCCACCCTCTTACCCCAGACAGCCACCAAAGGGAGAGCGCCCGCCGCGCGTGCGCACGCCACTTCTCTTTCGTCCCCTTGATCTCCCGCGCCTGCTGGGGGAAAAAGGCTGAAAAGGGACTACTCGTGGGGTGACGCACGCGCTTTAGCGCCTGCGCAATAGGATACGGCGAGGCCGAGAATCTATCTGTGATCAGGTGAGCAAGTAGACCTCCTCGGGCCATTTGGGTTTTGCCTGTATCTCTGCCGAGGCTTGAGCTGAATGTTATCGGAGGAGGTCGAAGATACCAACAGCAAAGTGAAACAGGAAAGTGGGGGGGGGGGTTCTGCTCGCGCATGCGCACTAGGAAAGCTGCCTGAGAGAAGCCAGCGATGGCTAGAGTTTTCATCAGCAGCATCTTTCGCGGGCGGGATGAAAATAAGAAATGTGGCACTCGCAGGTCAAAGGTTGCTTTCGCGCTTTTCTCTGCTTTCTGTTCAGGCCTTCGGGAGAAAAAGCAGAGAAAATTAACTGCATGCACAGGATACGTCGAGTTGGATTCACGCAATATGCTAGGTTAAAATGAGATTGGCTGGTGTGGTGATTAATGGTACCTGGTAAACACAAAACATATTTTCCGTTGTGTTTTTAAATTAATCTGCAAAGATATTAGTACGGAATTTTGTTCTTGCATTTTGGGCGTTGGGCTGGATGCAGGTGCTTATCTCTGGATCTAATCCACCTAACCAAATCCGCATTAACAATAAATCGCATCTAAGAGAGTTTCCCTCTGTTATTTAGCGCAGGGCTTTTCAACCTTTTCACTCATTGTACCACTTTTAGGATATGGCAACATCCGAGTACCACCAGTCGCCTACCAAGGTGTCAAAAAGTTGATCCCCCCAAAAAAATAAAAGGAAAAAAAGTGATAAAATGCAGATAGTCCTTGACTTACAACAGTTTGCTTAGTGACTGTTCGAAGTTACAGTGACACTGAAAAAAGTGCCCCCCAAGCCACAGTGGAGCAAGACACCTGCCTGCCTACCTGGCGGCGCTCTTCCTTTTGTCCGAGGTTTTCATTGTTATGAGCATTTCTGTTGAAAATTGGCAGCGGAGGTAGGGTAGGGGGTGTTTGGTTTTTATTCCCCCCCATCTGTTGGGTGGTTGCAGCAGATTTTGGTCACTTCACATGACCCTGGGACATTGACTGTCATAAATATGAATTAGTTGCCAAGCATCTGAATGTAAATCACAAGACCCTGGAGAGGCTGCAACATTCCAGCTGATCAGTGCTTCTTCTGGGCTCAGCAGAAGCACCAGGATCAGCACCAAGCTCCAGCTGGAGCCTGGTGCTGATCCTGGCGCATCCACTCATCCCTGACAGCCCTGCAGCTCCAGCCGTCTCTCGCTCAGGCTTGTGCGGTGCTGCCACCGGTTCAGCTCATTCCCTTCCCCAACTACCACTTTTCTAGAATGGTTGCGTACCACCTGCCAGGTGCCAATGTACCACAGGTGAAAAGCCCTGATCTAGCGGTCATTCGGATTTGTGCAGCTATGATCAGGTTTTCTTGCCTGTCCCTGAAATAACGGATTTTTTTATTTATTTAAAGGATATGGCCATCCTCAGCCATTGTTTACATACATGCTTTCGGCTGTTTAACTTACTGCAGTTATTTATAGTCTGCCTTTAAGAATAACAATCCTCCAAAAGAAGGATATTACAAGCAATATAAACAATTGTACACAAAAGTATAACAATACTGCATTGAACATTTTTGAGAACTTACAATGCTGACAGATTGGCGATAATGAGGGAAAGCAATGGAAATATGATTGTTTTCCATAGTTAAACATAATTTATTCAATTAATTCAATTTTTCTGAGTTTGCATAACATACCCACAAACAGCCCATGGGCTCAATTTGCAGGGCATACTGGGGTTGCTGTTACCTTGAAATTTTAGTTGCAAAAAAAATTCTTTTTGCTTTGTATTGTGTTGGAACACACTCTAAATTCTTTTTTCAAGTTCTGCATTTGGCATCGCATTTGAGATAAAAATGTTAAGGTCATGAGTGGCTTATTCTTCTATTCCCATATCTTCTTGCTCTTTGGTACTCACTACACCTCCCAGAATCAATTAACAATAAGTACTGAAGTACCACTGTATATGAACTGTGGATATATCACAAGCTGGGATTTAAGATGAATGTAGAATTTTTGAATTAAGAATAACTTAGCATTACCGTATTGATAGGCAGTAATACCTTCTGTAATACCTTGTGTTTTCTGTTACAAAATTAGAAAAGTCTGGCATTTGAAAAATTAAACGGGAATGTCAACACCTCAAGGAAAGATACATGTTGCAGTTTGGTGGAAGTCAAGTTTGCTTAACAGTATATGCTTTTCCTTCTCAAATGTAGTTTTATTGTATATTCTGACCACAGCAAGACTGTAGTTAGAGGACTTCTATGTTGGATGGAATCCAAGCAAATTTGGAATAAATATATTCCTGTAAAAATGTAAGCAAAAGAGTGAAATAAAGTTTTCTAAATGGAATAGGAAGATAGAATAATGTTTAAATTAAATTTTGTACAAAGTGCAAAATCTGGCAATATTTTAAATTTGTTTTTTTATTATTTTTAGACTTATGCTTGCTAATCATTTTCAGATATAAGCATTTTCATTTATTTAGTATAGAACTCTGCATCCTAAAATAATCCCTACTATTACAACCACTTAATCTTTATGTATAACTGCAAGTATATGCATTATCAAAAACATAATACAATATATTGTAAAATACTTCTTTTAGCAAAAAGCTGTACTTGATAACTATTACACAAATCTTTTGCTTTCATTTCTGCTGCTCCAGTATTTTAATTGAAAATTAAGTGTTAATACATGTTTTCAATAAATATATTTGTACCCTTGTATAATATTTGTTTACTGCTTTTATGAGCTTATTGTAAGTTGCCTGGTATACTTAAGTTCTCATTTGGGAAAAGGATTAAGTTATATTATCTCTAAGGAAGAAAAAGCTGGACTATAAAAATATTCACTGAGTGGAAAATCTGCAGGCTGATTAGAATAGAAAGATGGTGGAACTCATTGAAATCAAAGAAATAAATTAGTAGCTCCTTCACAGAGCAAAATTAAATATTTGGAAGTATGAAACTTAGACAGCACACTAAAAAGCAGAGACATTACCCTGCCAACAAAAGTACGTATAGTCAAGGCCATGTTTTCCCAGTTGCAATGTATGGCTGTGAAAGTTGGACCATAAGAAAGGCTAAGCGCCAAAGAATTTAGGCCTTTGAACTATGGTGCTGGAGAAAACTCTTGCAAGTCCCCTGGACTGCAAGGCGATCAAACTGGTCAGTCCTAGGGGAGATCAACCCTGATTGCTCTTTAGAAGGCCAGATCCTGAAGTTGAAACTCAAGTACTTTGGCCACCTAATGAGAAGGAAGGACTCACTGGAGAAGAACCTAATGCTGGGACAGATTGAGGGCAATAGAAGAAGGGGATAACATAGAATGAGGTGGCTGGATGGAGTTACTGAAGCAGTAGGCATGAGCTTAAATGGACTCCAGAAGATGGTAGAAGACAGGAAGGCCTGGAACAACGTTGTCCGTGGGGTCGCGATGGGTTGGACACAACTTCGCAACTAACAACAACAACAACAATGAAACTCAACTACCATGGACGAATGGTTACAAAAGCTGATGGAATTAGCAGAGATGGCCAAATTGACTGTACTTATAAAAGAAAAGAATATAAGAACTTCTGCTTGGAAACCGCTTCTGGACTTTGTGCTTGAGGTGGAAAGAAATGATATTATGATTTTGGGTTTTACCGATTAGACTGATTTGCCGATACAGAAATGGCTAGTGCATACTACTATAGAAATATAAAAAAGTTGAGATTTGATTTTAATGTCTGATTTTACTGCAACAGAGACTTGGAAGTCAATGCCTTTTGTTTCTTCCCCTCCCTTTCTTCATACCTTTTTTGATTTCCCTTTTTCTACTGTTGTTCCCTACTATTTGCTTTTGTATTTTCGCATTTTATGTTATAAATGAATAAAACTAATAAAAAAAAGAAACTATGTTTTCAGTACCTAGCTTGGAGCAAGTAAAAGAAATAATGCAATAGTATTTATATTAAAATAGTTTAATAGTGCCCTAATCCAATGTTCTCCCGCCTGATACCATCACCACCACCATTGTCTGCAATTATAAATCCAAAAACTCCCTGGAGATTCTGGAATTGCAATCTCAGAACTGAGAAATCTAACTTAATCCTTAGTACAATTAAATAAAATGCAATTTAAAGTTGGATAACAGCAGTGACATTACTACTGCATATTTCCATGAGGCTGGCTGTGTGAGTGCTGATGACAGATGTTCAGAGAGGTACTTCAAGTAATTAAAATAATTCCTTGAAATATTAACAAGTTTGCCTTTGCTTTTATTTAGAAATTAAGAAATTTTAACCTACTTACTGCCTATGGCAGTTTATCCATTCTTCAACCCATTCAATCTTTTTTCTATATTAATCATCTGATTTTGAAAATCCACAAAACATTACTATCTAGAAATGTATTTTGAACATATTTTCTTACATACATACATACGTATGTATGTATTTTCTTTGAGCTTGCAATTAGTATTTTCTTTGAGCTTGCAATTGTAATGTGAAAGTCAGAGAAGTGTAATCCAATCTCCCCTTTAAACCCGGAGGTACCAGTCAAGTCAGTTCACAGTGGAATTCACAAAGAATGAATTCCTTAAATATCCCTATTAACTTACGTTGCTACCTATCTGCTCAGCTGCCTGCCTCTGAGGTCAGTCATATGGCATGCCGATTCATGCTACAAGCTGTTTCCTTGTACTTTCCATTTGTCATTGTTGATCAGCTGTGAAACATGTCAAAAAACTTGAGTGCCATAAACCCAATAGGGATTTAAAGTCCAGAAAGCAAGTTGACCTTAACCACAGCAGCAGAAAAGCAGTTATGTTCCAACAGCTACAAAAATGTTGGAATATGTCCAGTTTTGGATTCAACTGTTAAGAAATTCAAACAGTGAAACTGCTGAGTATTCTATAAGGCTGCTAAAAAAACAAAAACTTTGCTGGAGTTGGCAAAAGCAAAGATTTAATTCTACTGTGTCTTCTATGTAAGATAAACCAGTATCCAAAATGTTAGGCTTATGTGG